TTTTTAATATATATATATATATATATATATATATATATATATATATATATATATATATATATATCCAAAAGGTGATACCTAAAGTTTAAAATGCATTTTTTAAAGATGTTAAATCTTATATTTAGTTTTAATTTCATGCTAATATATTAAATTTAATATTTACAATAAGCAAAACACTTTGCTGTATTTCAAACTGAACTTAAATTGATTGAAATAATATTTTTTTTAAATTGCTAAAATCACTGATATTGCCTACACAACATAATTATCTTTATTAAAAAAATCTTTTAAAAATAAAACATACTTTTCTGAAATGTTATTTGAGGAAGATTAACTGATTTAAAATTTAATTAATCTAAATTGAAAGAAATATTGCTCACTTTTAGTTTAAAATATCACAGAATATCATTCTTTTAACATGGAGGTGGTTGTTTTTATGAGGTGATGACACATTAATCAATAACATGATTTTTACGAGATTTATGTAAGGGGGAAATAGTTGTCATAAAATTGTATGACAAATACAATGTAAGCACCATTTCTGATAATTTTTTAATGACCAAGTAATCTTAAATTTTTAAATATTTGGAACATTCTAATAATATTTTAGGTACTTTGACTTTGTAGTCTTACAAAGATGCTTGTTGAGGAAGTGTTAGAAAATTACTAATAAATTTTACATTTACTTTAGTTACCACTCTTATTTTCTAATACTGTCATGTATGGACATTCATATTTACAAAAATCAGTACATATATACACACAAAAAAATTCAAAATTCTTTTTAAAATACTGGGGTTCACTGAATTGTAGTAAGCTTTAACATATATGATTTGTAAATATAGTTTTTATTTAATAACACTATCACTTGATTAATAGAGAATTTTAAAAGATTTAAAAATTTATAAATTATTCGAATTAAAATTTTAAAAAATAAAAAGAATTCTGGTAAAAATTCATTATTCATTCATGAATTTTTTTAAAGATAATAGTGTCCATAATATATTTTATACATAAAAGCAATTAAAAGCTTTTCTAATTAAATAATGCCTTATAGTTTATTGCATTTTTTATTTTAAGATTCAGAGCAGATTTTCTGTAACTGGGGGTCCCATTTAACCAAAAGATTTTATGATTTAAATTCTCCAAGGACTTCTCCTTATAACTGATATAAACATTAAGCGATACAAAAAGAATTTCTTGAAATTCATAAAGTTAGATAAGTAGAGGTTAACAGATGTAAAAAAAAATATTTTTACAAAGATTTTCTAAAAAAGAAAGAAAGTTTCATTAAAATCTATCAATTACCTGATTTTTGCAAGAATTTTCAAATCAATATGTTTTTCATCACAAAAAGATGCTCAAATTTTCCCTAGTAATTTATGGTCCTCCATTCATGCCAGAGAAACTAGATTTTTAATCAAAATTTCAAAGGTTCCAAACAGGATTAAAAAAGTTTTTACATTAAAAAAAAACCTTTGTTTTTTTTTTTCTTTTAATAATAACACAAAGATTTTGATGATAAAAATTTATTACTGTTAATTTTTGGACATTTTTTCATTATGTATGCCACAGACAGACTGTTTTACTGTATCACAGCTCATCAGTGTGGTTAGACATGCTTCAAGGCAGGATCCAAACCTAACCAATTTGACATCTATCGGAGACCATCAGTGCATGCAGCAAAGAAAGGGAATTTTTAATGCATTATGTATGAGATATCAGCATTACCAGCTCCCAGAATGCTCAATTCATAGTGAAGACCTTTTAGCATTATTAGCCGCAGCTGACAAATTCCCTTTCTTTCAAATTGCTCAACCTACAAACAGGGGCATAATTATGTGTGTGTGTGTGTGAGAGAGAGAGAAATTGTATGACAACTAGTTAGTGAATTCCCTTTCACCATTGGGATCAACAGGCTGCAATACAACCATGTGCATGAAGCCTGATATCCAAATAGTGAAAGATGCAAGCTGCTATAGAATTTCTCTTAATTTGATATTAAATCAATATTTTTTAAACATTGAGAAGTTGTGTTTGCAAGAATGAAATAATTCCTGGCTGATCAAAATCTGGAACCACTATGAAAAAATCTTGAATTTCTGTTTTCTTAAACAGCATGAAAAATAGTGTAAACAGTTAAATTCATGATTCCTATTTTGCTTAATTATCATCTCAACTGTTATCTCTCACTCATAAAAATTAAAAGATTGTTATTCATATCTAACTTCATAAAATTGCTACAGAAACCAATACACCCAAGAAAATTATGGCAAAATTGGACATTCATGCCCACAAAAAAAGGAGTGTCAAAAGTACAGTTTTTCCCTTAACACCACTATTATTTTAACTACCTTCACTCCTCAGTGATGTTTATTGTTTTTAAAAAGAGATGATTAGAATTGTAATGAAACCTATACATTTTAGTTTTTCTTAAGAATTGGCAACAAAAATAATAAACACTATTTATTAGATTCTTTATTTATACTATTCATTTTATATTGTGTTATATTCTCTCTCTCTTCTCTTGTCTTCTGGCTGTGTGGTGAAATGTTTTGGGGGTCTGGAGATGAAAGACTTCAACAAAGATAATTTGAACTTATCTCGTTTATTAACATTGATATATACATCTAACTAGCCGGTGGCTTCGCTCTCACCCTCCACTGGAGAGCAGTTTCCAGACACAAAAGTCAATATGTCTACATTGCTAGACATGTAAGAACCAACTCCTTGAAAAATCTTTCTATATCTCTATCATTCTCACGCTCGTTCAGCCAATCAAATCGACTTCCATATTTTGTCTTGTATCTGACCCCTAAGGTCAACAAGGCAAACAAATCAAATTATATGCAAACAAATCAGTTATACTGATATATGATAGCAACAGACACTGTTGTAAGATAAACAACTCATCCATAACTGGTAACCGTGTAACCACCATAAGTTAAGATTAATAATTAGGTAACTGTGGTTGCATAAATAAATTATAACTTAGTGTATGTTAAATGAATTTATACAAAGTTAAAACAGTGGGGTGGGGGCCAGTAAACTAACTTATCACTAGCAAAAAACGTTTTTTATTTAAAAAAAAAGTTGGGAAAAAATTGAAAACAAAATTAAGTAAAAAATAATAAATCGTAAAATAGAGGACACACCTACAGATGTGTCATGGTTAGTTGTAAAAAAAAAGAAACATTTCTTTCCCAGGTTTTTAATTTTTTGTTTTTAATGTCAGTTTTTGTCATCCAAGATTAACTTCAATTACACCATGATTAATGTCTGCTGACAAAACAATATCTTAAACGCTGTAATTAAAAGTCTTTCAAAAATAAAACAATCATAAAAGAATTATAGGAATTGACAAAAATGAGTCAATTTAATGATTACTTGACTGAATTCTGAACTATTTACTTACTTTTTACTGAAAATAAAGTGAAAAATACATTTGTTTACATCAAGTAACTATTACATGTCCATTCAGTTCCAAAGTCAAGTGGCCACTGAGTTAGCTTTCCTTTAGCCTGCTTAAATGGATTAATATCACCGAAGTATGGATGACCTGAAATGACAAAATCTTTAATTGCTCAGAATAGCAAAAATATTGTGAAAAATATTGTGAAAAAACAGTCACCTCTTGTGAGTGACTGCTTTTTTTTTTCTTTTTTTCCTTGTGAAGTTTAAATTTTGACAAGTAATTGGTATTCAAGGGCCAAACAAAGTCCATTAAATATGCTTAAATATACTACCTACCTACCTAAAATCTAATTCAAGACATTTACATTCTTCTAAATGCTACTTACTGACCATGGATCCATTAATGATTCATATTTATGATACTAATAATAAAATCAATAGTTAAAAATTACCTTGAGCGAATGAAGTTATAGACCTTGATGAAGAGTATACTTCTTCAAACCTTGTGAACTGGAGCTACACAGTCACAAAGAACTGTACCAAATAACACAAACCACATCACTTGAGGGCTTTCAACAACAGCAACATTGAAAATGGATATCACATGTAACTTGAAAAGAAAATAATGATATAATCAAGATGGTGGCATTCTACACTACTTCAAATAAAAGGAAGGAAACCCCTATTAATACTGGAAAGAGTGATAACAGCTACTGGACTTGAGAAGAGAAAATAATGACATAATCAAGATGTTGACATTCCACACTACTTGAAATAAAATGTTAGGAAGGAAACCTCCATCAATACTGGAAAGAGTGATAACAGCTACTGGACTTGAGAAGAGAAAATAATGACCTAATCAAGATGTTGACATTCCACACTGCTTCAAATAAAAGGTTAGGAAGGAAACCTCCATCAATACTGGAAAGAGCAACAATGGTTTATGGAGAAACCTATTTTCCTGAAAAATTTGTTTTAAGCAAAAGATTTTATACATTTCAACCAACAGCATCACTGGCTGATCAGTCAATTAATGCTGAATGTTTCCTTATAAGGAAATGGCTGATATTATAATTACCATTAGGCTTTTGACACTTTTTTCAAGTATTTTTACTGGAAAATCTGTTGACGTTTCATTCCCTATTTTATTCTAACTTAGTTCTTTTGGAATGGAAAATAAAAAGTATGAAATAAACAATGACTAATGTGCAAAGAGAAACTTTTAAAAAGGCTAGAATATTATTTGCTATAATCAATATTTAATCATACATTTCTACATGAGATTTTTTTTTTTTGCAAAGTTCATGCAATTTAAGAATGGTGATGATTTTTTGATGAATACATGGGGGTCATTATTTAAATGGGTTTTTTTTTCTTTAATATAAAATATTCAAAGTATGAAGCTAGTTAAGAAAGAAGTCAGTTATGACTTATTAAATTTATTTTGTTTAAATTGTAAATGTTATGGCTGTAAAACAGTGGAATTAATGCCTACCATCCAAGGTATTGAATATCTTGCAAAAGAAAATATATTTCTCATGATTTCAAGAATCAAAGTTGTATTCCATTTTTAATCTGCGTCTCACAGCCACATCATGTTGAAAAAGCAGTTTCTGTATGAACACTAAAGTTAAGCAACGTCGAGCCTGGTCAGTACCTAGATGGGTGACTGCTAGGGAATAACAGGTGCTGTAGTTTGGATGTGCAGGTACTGTAATAGATAATGGCTTGGAATGGTTAATTGGAAAGCTGAGTTCCAATTCCACTTGGGTCCATTGTATTCATTTACGTGCAAATACCCTTGAGAAAGATATGAATCCACCTTTTCTCATCCCAGCTATAGGTTAATTAGTAAGACTTGTATCACTAAACCATTATTATCACAAAAAATTCTTACAGTGGAAAAATATTTTTTGCTTTAAATAACCTGCAAAGTGTTCATAAGACATAGAAAACAAATCAATCAATTTGTAATTTGGGAAAACACATTCAAGTCAAGCATGCTTTATCATTAAGCTACAAGAAGCCGTTACTGCAAAGCAAGTCTCAGTTATCCCACTCAAGAAATCTAGATCTCTTGTTGGGACGTTTCTAAGTTGATACCTGCTAAGTCTATTTTCATAACGAAAATGGAAACAAAATCATTTTATAAGCAATTCATGTTTTTTTTAATCTGACGTTATTTTTATTACAATAAATTTTAGTTTTAACATGTGGAAATTGCACGGTTTTCCTATTTGAATTTTTTGTAAATCCTAATTCTTAAAGTTAATGATTGAATAAACTCATGGCAAGTTCTCCAACAATAAAATATTCATAGAAATTCCCCTATCGTATCGTTAAATTTGAGCTTAACAATAACAAAATATTGCAGTAACATAACAATCATAAATAAATACGAATGATGGTCATTATTTAAGATATCTATATACAGTTACAAATGAAAAGATTTGAAGTATCCTGGATATGACGATAAACTACATCCGACAGCAAGGCCTCTGATCAGGAGGTTTAGAGGAACATGGAATCACCTTAATTGCTGTTCCCAGTTCCACCCTAACCCGGATCGTAGCACCTGTTAAGGTCCTAGCTATGGGCAAATAATTAATCCCCAAACTAGTGTCAAAACACAATGAAAGTGTAAAAATATAGTAAAAATACCATCAATTTTATTTTTAGAAAAAAAAAATATTGCCAGTGATATATCTTTGAAAAAAATATCAGCAATAAGTTTGACTCTCGACAAAAACCCTCTTTACAAAAATACGACAATGAAACCTGATCTACAAACTGATTTCTTACAAAAATACATATTCTATTCATACGAATCTATCCTAAAAATCTTGCCGGCATTAAATAACCCATTGAGGTGTTGATATGTCGTAAAATAAACCAAACCAAACCAAAAGATTTGAAATGTACAACTTTTTCTATTTCATTGAAACAGTCGGTAAGCACTTCTTTCTTTCTTTCTTTCACTCACTGAAACCAATTAGTGTTTTTCCACTCTTTTCACGCAATCAAAACGAAATGTTTCATTATTTATAAAGTATTGGCAGGGTATAACGGTCGTGCAAACTAACGAAAGGAGCGACAAGTACAATTATAATCGGATATTAAGTGGGACGTCTACTCAAACACGTGCACTTGTTTAATTATAATGTTTATTGGAATAAAAATAATATCTGGTTAAAAAAAATCCACTAATTACTTATTTATATAAACAGGTTTTACTGAAAACCACAGACAAGTTTTATTTCAAGAATTTTCAAGCTTTTTCTCTCGTTTTCATACAAGGAACAGTTTTTTGGTTCCAGCATGTGCAAGAATTCTCCATATTTTCGTGCCTTCGATGATCATTGGTCATTATCAAGGCTGGATTAAATATTAAAGTTTTGAAATTGTAGAAAATTTCTATAATTTTTTTTCATCAATGAGAGCGTAATAAATCCTCTTTTGTGCATGTTAATCATATATAATTTGTGAACTTCCTACAATAAATACAAAACTGTTTGCATACGCTGCAGATTGAGTCTGGATGTTCATAAATCTGTTATTGAATATATTCCATAAATCCAGGTTTCTACACATTGGAAGCAAACATCCATTATCTTGTACAAAATATGAAGAAATTACATTACTCAAACGGAAATTGTTAAAGCAAATCTTGTATTCAATAAAGCTTGCTTAGCAGAAAAGTTACTGCCAATATAGTACAATTCAAAAGTTCGAAGACGCCCCCAGAATTAGCATTTGATGGACTTGAGCGAAAAAAATGAGAAAGAGCTCTTAGAATCATTGAGAAAAAGAATTGAATCAATTATCAAAAATTATACTTTGAGAAACTTTTGCAACGAATACCAAAAAATGTGTGTTGCAGTAATCAAGGCTAAAGGAGGATATTTCGACGAGAGCAAAATTTAATCATAAAACGCTTTTTTCTTTTTGCCATAATAAAATTTCTAATAAAAAAAATCATGTCTCACTTTTTTAACCATGTATGATAATTTCCTCTCATTTAATGTACAAAACAACTTCTTCATGGGCCAATTTTAAAAAAATTACCAAGGGTGACCACAAACTATAGTTGGATAAAAAATACTGTTTTAAAAAAACAGAGCTTCTACTCGAACATGTGTATCCATCAAAATAACGTTTAAACAAAATAAATTTATGAATTTAGAAAAATTTAATAACGGAAAATTCTGTAATTTTGACAAGGTAGGAAAATTCTAAAACTATGAAATAATAGTCGACTGAAACTTGATTTTAGGGCTTAAACAAATCGATTTTATTTGCTTGAAAACAATAGAGTATAACCCTCTAAGCCCCTCATTCAGAAAATACGGCCCTGGTATTGTTGTAGTGGGGTTTTATCTAGACCCCCATAGTTAATAATACTTTTAAAAGATATTTATTTAAAAATATTGTCGGTGGGGTAGGGTGGGGGATTAGTCCCCTAATCACCCCATCCAGAATGCATGGTCCTGTTATTGTTGCAGTGTGGTTTTATCTGGACTGGAACCCAAGATTTTTTTTAGTTAATACTTATTTAAACGTATAGTGGTGGGGACTACACCCCACCAGAAAGTACGGCCCTGGTATTGTTTTAGTGTTTTTTTTTATCTAGACTTCCATAGTTAATGATATTTTTGTTTTAAATATTTGGGAAAGAGGACTAGCCCCCCCACCCCCACCTTTTGCAAGTACAGCCCTGGTATTGCTGTATTAGGGTTTTGCCTAGATCCCACGATTTTCAGTTAGTTATAAATATATGGGAAGGGTGCTTAGTTCCCAAATCTCCACTCCAGAATGGCCCTAGAATCAATTTTCAATCGACTGTTAATTTTATTTCATAGTCAAAATTACTGAATTTCGAACAATATCGGGGGGGAAATGTATAATAAAGTGGAAAAGATTTTCATATGACGCGTTTCGTCCTTCAGGACTTCATCAAGAGTAAATTTGTTATGTTGGTGTGACTACACATGCGCACGAACGAGGATTGCTGGGAATTTTATAAAACACGTAAAACGTATAAAAAAAATACTACATCTAAAACAATAAAAGACTTAGTCAATACTAAACAAAACTATAAGACAAAACTTGAAGGAGGAATTTACTCGATCACTTGTAATAATTATTACAAAAAATACATTGGAGAAACCTCAAGGAATCTAAAAAAGATTATATGAACATAAAAGGGACATTTTACAAAACAATACATCAAATGCGTTGGTTACTCACTGTAACGAGACTGACCACAATTTTGATATAAAACTGTTAGAGAAAAATGTTAGAAAACAGTTCACTATGACGAAAATGTATAGTGAATGCCTTAATCATCTACAGTAAATTTGCGCATTGGCTCTTTTATGTTGGTGCGACTACACATGCGCATGGACGACGGATGCTGTAAATTTTTAATTCCTTTTTTTTCAATATAATCTAGTTAATTTAGATTATTTTTCTTATTGTTTCCATCACTTTTATTATTAGATCTCCTACACTGTGATAATAGAAGATCTTCCAGCAATGAGGAAATATTGTAAGAGTCTTACAATATTCATCATTGCTGAAAGATCTGTCGGAGTTAGCTCCTCCTTAATTCCCAAATTGTTACTAGGGGTCATTCTTCATATCCTCTTTTTCATTTCTTCATTTCAGCGACTACAATGTAAGCTCTCTTAGAAAATTTTTTCTAGCAGTCATTTTGTTAATCGCTCTTTGTTTAAGATAGTGTCGGAGTTACCTCCTCCTTAATTCCCAGATTGTCACTGGGGTCATTCTCCATATACTATAAATACTGGGCGACTTCTTGCCTCGTTCTCTTTTTCCTTCAGGCCTCGTGCCGCATCCCACCTCGCGTAGAGGTGAGGTAAATCCTCTTTTTCATTTCTTCATTTCAGTGACTACAATGTAAGCTCTCTTAGAAGATCAGCGTCGTGGGAGGCGCCATGAACATTATACACACATACATGTACGTACGAACATTCACCAAAGAACAAACACAAATGTTCACACACACACAATTATAATTGTCTATGTCCGTTATAAAATTGTTTTGTTTAATACATATATTTGATTATACAGTGAAACCCGGATATAAGAGAGTTTTTCTCTGGTCCCAAATTAGAGCCTGTGTTAATGTATATAAATAGACCAAGCCCGGATATAAGAGAAACCCGGATATAAGAGAGATTTTCTCTCGTCCCAAATTAGAGCCTGTGTTAATGTATATAAAATAGACCAAGCCCGGATATAAGAGACTTCTTCTCCAGTCCCACAACTCTCTTATATCCGGGTTACATTGTATATATATATATATATATATATATATATATATATATATATTAAGAAATGGACAAAGTCCGACAATTTATTTATTAAAAGACATTTTTATGTATTAAAAAAAAAAAAGAACGTTAAACATAAAAATGTCTTTAATAAATATATATATATCGGTCTTGTTTGTCTTCTTTATCTTCAGTTGGACTTAATTCCGGCCATTTTTGTTGTTGTTGGACCTTTTAATATTCTACCAGGAGTTACACACGTGTTTCTAATACAACAAAACTCAAACACACACGGTCCTCTACAGATCTATTAAAAGTGATGGAAACAATAAGAAAAATAATCTAAATTAAATTAACTAGATTATATTAAAAAAAATGAATTAAAATTCTCTCGTCCAT